CCTGCACTCAATCTACAGCAGGCGGTGCTGGACTAAGGCCAGGAAGATGGTGAAGGACCTCAGCCATCCCAACAACAGACTGTTCTCTCTGTTGAGGTCAGGAAAGCGATTCCGCTCCCTGAAGACCAACACAGAGAGACTGAGGAGGAGCTTCTTCCCGCAGGCGATACAGTCTCTCAATCACACCACCACACAGTACTGACCCACACATATAGTTCTTACACACACACTGGACTTTCTGGACTTTGGTTTTGCACAACACTGGTCACTATATTCTTCATTTCCGGTTAATACTTGTACAGCTGCTGTTATTGTGTATATATTTATTTATATTTCTTCATACATTCTTATATAGTTCTATATTGTGTATTTTGTTGTAGTTATTTTATTTTCAACTTTAATTTATATATTTATCTTTATCTTATTCTTCCCAGTTAAATTTACCCTTCATTCTAATTTGTGTTGTACAGTTATTTCATTTTTAACCTTAATTTATATTTTATTCCTTCTTAGTTAAATTTACCCTTTTTAATTTTTCATATTTATTTCCTATCTTATTCATAGCCTTTTCCTTTTTTGTTTTCTTTAGGTCACGAGCAGTTGTCCAAGCGTTTCACTACATATCGTACTGTGTATGACTGTGTACGTGACAAATAAAATTTGAATTTGAATGTGGAGTCAGATTCATAACGTAAGCGTTTAATGTTGGCAGAGAAGTAAAGTCCTCGTGCTGCGGCGATGCCGTGACCATTACGTGTGCTGTGTTTCAGTGACAGCGTGGCTCGATGTAAGGAGCTGGACCATGCTGTGAGGACACGCCAGGTCCCGATGTCTCCCTCTGACTTCCTGGACAAACTGATGGGGAGGACTTCTGGCTACGACGCCCGGATCAGACCGAACTTCAAAGGTAACTACAGAGACGTCCGTGTTTACTGCAGGAAGTCGTTTGGCCTGTGAGGAAACGTGCTGACGCGTGGCGGGCCGAGCCGCTTGATGCAGACGGCTCCCGGCGTTCGTGACTGAACTTTGAATCAGCTCCACGTCTGCAGCTCCGGCTTCACAGCAAGCCGGCTAAACATTCATGATTACTGATTATGAAACACCTGCAGCCATGTCACCTCCACTTTCTCCTCCTTCAGACGCAGAAACACACCAAGCTGCCACAACCGTTAGGACACACACAGCGCCTGATTTTATTCATGCGCTCCACATCAGTTCATCCAAGAACCGTTCTAACAGCGACTGCTGCAAAGAGAATAAATAATATTACTGGAGAGCACATTTCCACCAATCAGAGAGCGTGTTTGTGTTTGTTTCCACGCATGGACGCTCATCCTCTGTCAGAGTCTGTCGAGCCTACGAATGAGTGAGAAGCACAAACGTCCTCTCTGCTATGTGAACATCACACACATCTGCAGAGACATGAACATGGAGGTGAAGGCGGGACTTCCTGTTGAAGTAAAGATTAATTTACAGTTTAATGCAAACTGGATTTAAAACGATGTTGATGATTCACTTTCTGCCTAAAAGAAGAAAAACATGAGAATAATCTGCATTTCGTGTCTGGCGTGTCCCACAGCTTCGGTCTGTCTGAACTAACCTCAGACTGATGTGAAGTCTAAACTATTTCTCACTGATTGTTCAGTCACGAAGTCTTTCCTTTGACTTTCATAACTTCCTGCAGTCGCACCTGCGCTCTTTACGAGTTTTTATGTGTCTGCACATAAAAACTCGTAAAAACTTCTGCAAATCTGACACAAAAACAATGACTTTGATTTAAAAAAGCACTTCTGAGAACATGAATGTATGTGCTGCGACAAACGTTTGCACAAATGTTCAGAAGCTTCACTAAAACCTCCAAAGCTCCTGAACATCAGAGCAGACAGGATGTAAACCACAACTGGTTGGCCCAGGCATGCGATCTTTTCACACATTCCTCCACCCGTTGCTGTGCAGCTAAGACGGAGGCAGATGTGCTGGACGCATGCTTCATGGTTCAGCCCAAACCTGCGGTGCTCGCCCCACGGCTGTGTTTCAACGGCTGCAGGCACGACTTAAAACACGTAATCCTTCATACGCTCAAGGAACGTTTTAGTATCTCTATATATAATGTGTAAACACACACACGTGTCGAGTATTCATATCTTAGTGAGAACGTCTAACCCTGAACCTAACCATCATCTGTAACTGTAACCCTGACACTAAACCACATTTAGAGTCTAAAAGATGCCTTCAAACTTGTGGGGACCAGGACCCCACAAAGATATGAATACACACACACACACACACACACATACACACAGCAGACGTAGACTGACTGTTACTGGCTGAACTGGTGTACGTGCACCCAAACCAGTCCTGTAATCAAACACACACAGGAGGGAAGAGGTGGGCGGAGGATGAAGCTGACGCATGTCCTTGTCTCTCGGCAGGTCCTCCCGTCAACGTTTCCTGCAACATTTTCATCAACAGCTTTGGCTCCATTGCTGAGACGACCATGGTGAGTAACAGCTTCATGTTTGTAAAGCAGTCATAAACATATTGTAGCTTCCTCCACCTCTCAGGAACACTGGACACCGTCAGGTGGTGTTGCTGCTGCACTTTGCAGCGTGTGTTAAAGTCGCCGTTCGTCCTTGACTGCTCGATAGAATACTTGAGTGCACAGGGCCGAACGCTCAGCGCACGGAGAGGAAGCTGTCGGGCTTATTCAGCTCAGACATCACCAAACGCACACCGAGGGCAGTATTAGTAATTTAAGCCTTTCATCACTTCCTGATTAGTGAGTACTGTCGGCATGTTCTCATTTCGAGAACAGGAAACGCGGCGAGGTGTCATGCTCCATGACACACGGCAGCGTCATTTTTCAGTGTGCACGCTCAAACCACGATCGCTGTCACAGGTCAGAGGTCATCGTTCTCTAAAAATGTTGACCCGTCTTCATCACATCCATCTCTGGACCAAATCACAGCCACAGTCAGGACTCCCACAGAAGGCCTCTGTGTAATCAGGATTCATGAGTCTCACTCAGAAAAGATGCTTTTATTGTTTTAAGTCCAATCAAACGAGCTGTAGTGTCAACCAGAGCTTTCTCTGTGAGACGGTGACTAACCAGAGCAGGTCTGTGTCCGTGCTGGGAACACTGGGAGCTGGCTTCGCTTCCCGATGATGTGATTACTGTGAGCTGCGCTCGCTGCCAGGATGATCCCACCCTGCTGCGGTGATGCTGAGGTCCGGGCTCTGCAGGGTTGCTTTCACTGCACTGGCGCTTTGTGAAACACCAAGCCTCTGCCAATCAGAGGCTTCCATTAGGCTCCCTGTTGTCGTCCGTCTGAGCTCTGCATCCGTCTGTCTTCAGTCTCTGTCCCCGGTCCTGGTGTCACGCTTGTTCTGTGTCGTTAGTTAGATTTAGTTCACCTGAGTTCTCAGGTGTGTTCCAGCTGTGTGTCCCGTCTGTTTCGTTTCCTGTGATTTCTGCTCAGTGCAGTTCCTGGTTTCTGTTCAGCGATAAAGCTGTTTTGTGTTCTGCAGATGTCCACGTCTGCCTGCACACGGAGCGTATTTTCAAGTAGCTGATGTCCAAAGAAGGAGAGCTGGAGATCTGCGGCTCAAGGCCACCGTAGAAAACATAAAACTGTGCGGCTCCTGTGCAGCACAGTGTTGTGTGATAAGAGGATTGTATATGGTAGTTAACTTGTAATCTGTATTTAAAGGCCAAATAATCAGTTAAAGAAAAGCTTCAAACTGCGAGCAGACAGGAAGTCACGGTGACGAGTGGAGACGATGACAGAGCGAGGCAGACAGAGACAGAAATCAGAAGAGACAGACGAGCAGACAGGAATAGCAGATGTGCGCCGCGGGCATTTACCGAGTCTGACAGCAAATACTTTAAAGTGACGTGAAGGCGGTCCGCCATGCACGCGAGCTGCTTTGTACAACGATACGCGCACACGAACGCGGCTGCAGACCAGGATCGGGTTTCGTGGTCTCGCTGCACCGACACTGTTTGAATGTCCCCGAATGCGCCGAGCGATGCACGTGGCCTCTGACGTTCAGGCAATAAAAGCATTTTTTCATCAGTTTTGTAACCTGTGAAAGTCACTCCAGCTCCTCCAGGATTTAGGAGTGCTGCAGAGCTGTCCCACCCTGTTAGGAGTCCCCCCGCCCGGCGGCAGGACAAACAAGAGTGCACTCGAGGAGACGCTGGTGGAATAAAGTAGCTGTGATTTCTTCCAGGATGTCGTGCATTCATACTTTATCAGCTAAGACATAAATTTACAACAACCATGGTGATTTCTTTCCCCTTAAAACACAATGCATATTCAGAACTTCACTCTGCAAATGTAGTATTAATATTTATTTTGGTTTGTCTGTCATTAAAAGCATCCGTGACATCACGACTCGCTGCACACAAACGATGCTCAAAGTCAGAAAACATATTCAGAGAGTAGAAGCAGGAAGAGGAAACAGGAAACAGGAAACAGAGTGGGACAGAGTGCTGAACCTTTCTCATCCCTCGTCATGTAAAAACTGCCTGAAAGCCTTCAGGCTGCTGACAGGTGGCCCTGAGTTATGCTGCTACAGGCTCAGGCCGCTGGGGGACTACCCATCATGCACGGGGCTTTTCTTTTCACACCTCATGTTTTTCACGTTATTAACCTTCATCTTTTTTGATCTGTCCGTGTCTCCCCTTTTCTCGTCTCCTCACTCCAACTGTTGGAGTTTCTTCCTGTCAAAAGGGAGTTTTTCCTTCCCGTTGTCACCGATTGCTGCTGCTACGGGGTCATGTGATCGGACTGTCTGCTTATCTGGTTAACAGCTTTAAAGTGCTCGTCACAGAGGCGGTCTCTGTGGGTTTATAACGAGGGAGCTTTGCTTTAGACGCCTGTAAACCCACAAATGTCTGAGACTTTACATCTGTAAATATAAGGTATGAAATATTTCTGTGGTCTGAACTGCTCTGACACCGGGTCACTTCCTGTGGCGTTCCTGCATAATCATCTGAGCAGAGCTGGTCGAGATCCGCGGAGCGCTCTCGGAAGATGGATGGACGAGCTGATGGATGACTGAAGCGACAAGGTCTAAGTGCTTTGTGCACCGCTGGGAGCTGCTCTGATGGAGCCCTGTGTGTGTGTGTGTGTGTGTGTGTGTGTGTGTGTGTGTGTGTTCACCTGTCACTGTATGGTTTATTGCAGTGAGGATGATTGAAGCTCTGTGGCTGCCTCGGTCATGAGGAGGGGAGCAGCTGTGATGTTTTCCCTGATGGAGAGCAGTTTGTTCAGTGACCTCTGACCTTAGCTGACTCAGATGCCAGTAATGGTTCCAGCTCCTCACCCATGTTTTCACAGTGTTAGTCGCAGTTGTTTTCCTCTGGAAGGCGACCACGTTCTCTTTTGTCCTCCTGACATTCAGGAGAAGGTGATTTCTGATGGACGTCTCCACCGAGCTCCTCAGCAGCTCTCTGCACTCTGACTCCTGCCCACCAGTAATACAGCGAGCCTCTGCAGGGTCACCAGCGAGCATGATTCAATGTTTGGGTCGCTGGAGTGTTAGGAAGTGGTTGGACATTGAAGACACTGGAAAACTAAAAAAACATGATTCTCACCGAGCCACCAGTGCCACCCAGGTGAGACTGAGCACGCTGCAACAGGTAGATAACAGCATCATCCACCCTCACAGCAGGGGCAAGAACCAGACTGTCCACCTCCGTGATATGTGACCTTCTGATCAACACATTTTTATTTTTTTATGTGGACTCGTTGAGTTTCTAGACCTTTTATCGCGTCTGTCCTCTTCACACGTGGCGCTAGGACACCACGCTCCCTGGACGTGAAAGCGTTAGATCTAAAATCAGCTGATGGGGGGCGTGGTCAAGCACAGTTTAATCTGGTATCCGTAAAGAGGAAGAAGACAGGGCAGCCATACGTCAGGTCAGGATTCAACCATCGCTCCTTTCACACAGCTGAGCGCTAACCGTCTGAACACGCCCACCTCTGCTAAGAACCCCAGAACGATAACTGGAGCAGAAACTGGGAGGGCGGTGATCGCACTGATGAGGACCGTAAACACGTTCATACTGAAAAGTTCAGCATCTGCATTTCTAGGAACATGTAGGCCTTCAGCACCGGTACATCTGAACCCAAAGTGCCCAGTTTGTCTTTGGATCGCTGTCAATAAAGTTCATCAAACATGTCACAGCTGCCCTAAATCAATATTATTGGTAATTACCGAAATCACTCTTTATATTTCTGAAACAGTGGATCCAAGAGCATGTCCAGACTCGTCAATCTAAATAATGTTTTTGATTCTAAAATATAATTATTGCTGTTGTTTCCATGCATTTAAAAAAAGCATAAAAATGTGGTTGAATTAGTGATAAATAGTCTTTCATTACTAAAGAAAACTTATAATGAATTCAGGTTGAGACGTCTCGCTCTTGTTCCGAGCAATAAAAAGAGAAGTGACTGTAAAGGAGAGGGTGGACGTTACAGCGCGTCGTGATGCTGGACGCTCTCTGAGACTAACAGCGTGAGACATGAAGTGTCCTCGCTGTGCGGTCGAGTACACTTCAGAGTCGATGGAGAGACGAGTACTTAGAGAATGCACCGAGGACGAGGCGGCAAACGCAGGCTGACGGAGGCAGATGTCAGGAAACTCAAGAATTTAAATAGTAGAGACAGAAGGAAGTCCACTGCTGACCTTCAGGCAGAGATCAGAGTCTGACAAAGTCTCCAGTGTGAGTAAAAGCAGACGTCCATGCATCATCCATCCATCCATCCATCATCCATCTATCCATCCATCCATCCATCCATCCATCCATCCATCCATCCATCCATCCATCCATCCATCCATCATCCATCCATCCACCATGCATCCATCATCCATCATCCATCCATCCATCCATCCACCATCCATCCATCATCCATCCATCATCCATCCATCCATCATCATCATCCATCCATCCATCCATCATGCATCCATCCATCCACCATCCATCCACCATCCATCATCCATCCATCCATCCATCATCATCCATCCATCCATCCATCATGCATCCATCCACCATCCATCCATCCATCATCCATCCATCCATCCATCCCTCCATCATGCATCCATCCATCCATCCATCCATCCATCATCCATCCATCCATCCATCATGCATCCATCCATCCATCCATCCATCCATCCATCATCCATCCATCCATCCATCATGCATCCATCCATCCATCCATCATGCATCCATCCATCCATCCATCATGCATCCATCATGCATCCATCAACCCATCCATCCATCCATCCATCATGCATCCATCACCCCATTCATCCATCCATCCATCATGCATCCATCATGCATCCATCAACCCAACCATCCATCCATCCATCAACCCAACCATCCATCCATCATGCATCCATCATCCATCCATCCATCATCCATCCATCCATCCTTCCATCCATGCATGCATCCATTACTTAAATATTTTAGAAATCTGTCAAACAGTTGTT